TGAGGGTGCTGAGGTGCTGGCACAGGGTGCCCAGAGAAGCTGTGGCTGCCCCATCCCTGGCAGGGCTCAAGGCCAGGTTGGAAACAGGGCTTGGAGCAAACTGCTCTAGTGGAAGGGGTCCCTGCCCGTGGCAGGGGTTGGAGCTGGATGAGCTTTGAGGTCCCTTCAACCCGAACCAGTCTGGGATTCTATGACTCTATGATGCCAGTTCTACCAGCTGGAAGTGGAGAGCTGACCTCTCCCAGCAGTGCTTCCGAAGGTGGCAGCCCTGTTGCTCCAGCCAAATGCCTGCCCTTTCCCTTCATCCCTTCCTCCCCAGCTGCCAAAAGCACAGCAATGCTCAGAGGGGGCTCAGGACACCTCCCCATACCATCCAGTGCCACACCAGGATAAGACCAATCCCTGTGGTTTTCAAGCTGCATTTAAAAGAACACTGCTATTTTTTCTCCCAACAAATAAAGGGTGAATGCAGACTGCAGGACAGCGTGATGTGGAATAAGGAGTTTTGTGAGCAGGGACGGTGAATGCAGACTGCAGGACAGTGTGATGTGGAATAAGGAGTTTTGTGAGCAGGGTTTTGTTTTGGGTTGGGTTTTTTTTCCTCACAAACTACTTTGCTTGCTCGGCAGTCCCTGTCAATGGAAGTGTTTGTGAGGTTATTGCACAATCCCTGTTTCATCTGCTTAAATATGCATTCCTTCATCATTATAACCATACTTCTTTATGAAGGAAGCACGAGATGACACCATGATTATCCAGGATTATACACTTAGATTTTCTTTCTAAGCAGACTGTGGTAACCTTGTGGTTCACTCATGAAAAAGTAGTGCTTAGCATGAGCAGATCTCATCTGCTTGGCATTCTGCATAAGCTCTTCTGCAGGATGGTTTAGTGGTGGACTTGGTGGTCCTGGGGTAAAGGTTGGACTTGATAATCTTAAAGGTCTTTTCCAACCTAGTTGATTCTATGATTCTGCAAACTTCACCACACCATCAAATATCATTGAGTACCTTGAAGTACTATTACCCCAAGATATTTTTGAGTTAGAGTTTTAAGACACAGAAAAAGCAAAAGAAGAGCACCCCAGTTAACCATATTCATTCAGTACATCCCTTACTGAGCTCCTTATGGGGATGTGCCTTTTTGTGCTTTCATAATGTAACATCATTATCAACCAAAAACACCAGCATCAAAATACATTAAGATGAAAATTTTTGTATTTCATGTACTTTATTTTTGAAAATTTAGTGGGAAAAAGTGAATCCTACAGGTCTTCTCATTGCTATTAAAGTCAGATTCTCTTGTCGCATCCCAATAACCATGTGTGTAACAGGCTGTGTTAGGTCCTAACACAAACAGCACTTGAAGGGAAGCTGAATACACAAAGTTTATGCACACTGATTCTTTAGCCTGAAAAAGGAGAGTTGCAAGGAGAACCTAATAAAAGGTAAATGAAATTATGAGTGGTGCTAAGAATGTGAATAGGGGACAATTACTCACTGTTTCTCATAGTCCAAGAGCGGGTTATCAAATGAAACTATCAAGCAATAAATGTGAAACCAATAAAAAGATGCAAGTTTTCATATAACGCCTAAGTACATTTCGAATTGTGTTGCCTCAGTGCCCAGTACACAAAAGAGTGCCAGAGCTCTAAAGATACTTAGACAAAGTAATGGAAGAAAAATCCATCAAAGGCTGTGCAAGTCAGAGATTTGACCTCTGCCTTAGCTCTCTGAAGACAGAAAGGTGTAGGGGGGAGGCATTGCTCTGGTTTTGTCCTTTGTTCATTACGATCTCTGCTATGAAACATTGTCAGCTAGGTGATGGAGACCTAAAGGGCTTTTGGCCTGACCCAGCATGGTTGGTCAAGTGTTCCTAGAAAAGCTGGCATTTGAAGGTAGCCTCTACCCTCATTTATTAAAAGCCTAAGCTTTTCAGGATAAGAGTATTCCAGACTCTGCCCTCCCGCAGTACCCTGTTCCATCCAGGCACTGGGTGAAATGACAACAGAAATGACAAATTGTTATCGGGCAATTGATATCATAAAAACAATTACTACTGATGCAGTGCACAATGAGGGAAAATAACAGTCAGATTACATGTGTCTCAGATAACCCATAATCCAAAAGACAGTTATCCTTCTCACTACGTGATGAAAGTATTTGCAGTTGCTGCAGCAGATTGTTAAATCTGCCACTTTTAATTCCTTTTGTGACTCTCACTCAGCATCTTGCAGGAGTAAGCCCTTAATTTTGTAAGCTTATTCCCCAAAGCCAGGGTATTTCTGGTCTCCACTGAGTGCTAAAGCGTGCTCAGCCCTAACCTGTCCCCATCTGAAAAGCACTGTTAAAGCTACTCCTAGTGCTCAGAATAAAATGAAGATATCAAAACTCTCAGTGCTCAGTTCTCAGCACTGGATGATACTATCTCCTACTAAAGCTATTCAAAAGTCTTTTCAAAGAAAATTAAGACCACGAAGAAAGAAATTCGGCATATTTGTGCTATTCTCTTGCTTCTGTTGCACCAGAGATAAATGAGGCCTAAGAAACATGAAGATCAGTGAAATGAAAAAGAAATACGTGTTGCAAGTTAATTCATCTTCGTTATCTGTCTTTTTAATGGATGAGAAATTTTAGAGTGATTATTTTTTCCAAGGGAAACAGTGTTACTCGGAGGTGCCTGTGTCCTGTTTAAAGCAAGGAAAAACAAGAATAAATGCTGTTGGGAGAAAGTTTTGAACACTTCTTTTGTGACTGAATTTAAATACCATCATTCTAATTTAGCAGACGACCCAAGTGCTTAACATTCGTTTTGCTAGGAGGAGAAATGACATTAGCACAGAAGGTATTCTGATTTTTGAGCTTTGGCACATAATTATCCCTAAATCATTCATGACATCAAATAATTTTTAGTCCTGTTCGCACTGATGTTGAGTTTCCTGTTTGCTTGCAGCTTGTATTACACTTGACCTGAGAGCACATCAGTGACGGAAGAAAGAGATTAGCTTTGCTTTGATAAATGTTGTTTGCTTACCAGCATGTTATGGAAATATGTAACAGCAGAGAAAAACACACTGAATATATTGGCAGAAGTTTGGTTACACCAAATAGCGTTTGAGTTTCCTGAGTAAAGCATGTAGGAAAAAAATTAGACACTTATTATGCAAAGTGACCTACAGGAGGAAGCGTGAAACCTTATTCTGTATTTGATAATCAAACACAATTCAAAGCTCTCAACATGTCTGGGGTAAAAGCTGATCGTGGATTTCACAAAGAGCTGTTCCACTGTGGATGGAAATGAAAACCCCTGTGCTTTTCAAGGCACAGAAGAGATGAGCTGTCATAGGCAGAAGGATAATCAAAGCCAACAAAGTTTTCAGCTGAATGTATGAATCAGGATTTTGTCATTAGCACTGGGCAAATAATTGCTTCTTTGATTGAGTGTCTTAAACTGGAAAATTAGGGTAATGCTTAGCTCTGGGTCAGGCACAACTGCTTTCCTTCTCTCATGGCAAAAACGACTGTTGGGGAGCTGGTTACTTTGGTGGGAGGAAGGCGGAGAGGAAATGAAAGATCAAGCTGAGCTTTTTGTCTTACTCAAAACTTTTACCACTTACTTAAAGCTGACTTAAAATGTGAAACATCACTTGGAAGCAAAAATTCCCATTTGGATTTGTTTTCAGTGCCTCGTCAAATTTTGCCAATCACTTGCTTTGAATTAGAAATGAATTCCTAAATACTTTAGCCTGATTCAAAATAGCACTTTTCAACTAATATGACTTCCTAGTTTTCTCCTACATTTGTTACTGCCTCCAAGTCCCTGGTTTTGGCATTAGGAATAGGAAAGTTGTGGTTTAGAAGCAGAAAAGAGAACCAATTGCCTAGCATTGGTAGTAAGTGGTAAAGATTACTGTTAGTGTATGAGTTTCAGAAAGCTAACCTGCAAATTAACTTTCTCTTCTCTTTGTCCACCTTCTGTGGACTGAGTGGTACAGACCTGCAGACTAAGGGGACTGATGTCCCTTTGCCTCTGCCCCCAGGGAGAGGCCAGGCAGCAGGTCCAGCACACAAAGGTCACTGAACCATTTTATGTTCTTCCTTCCCTTCAGGCACGATCTTGTTTCTCTTTCAGGGCTAAGTGTTACATGGGGAAAAAGAAGACTGATTGTGATTGGATTGAACAGAACTTCATAGAGCCGGGGAACAAGGAAGAATTTCCTCTTGCTGAAGCAGAGAATTTCTATACATTATTGCACTGGCAAATTATCCTAAATGGGGTAAGGAGGACTGTAACAAAAGCAAGGTCACAGCTCCACTCCCTGTCTGGTGCAATAAAATGGCTGATGGTGCAAGATCAATGAGGAACTTCCATCATGTACTCCATAAGTTATACATTCCTCCATGCTCTAGGACCATGGATGCTACTCCCAAGAAGCAATGCAGCCATATGCTATCTCTGAGCACAACTGTATTCAAAGGGCCACAGGTATCCTGAATAAATGTTCCCCCTAAAGTTAACTACTCAAAAAACCTATTTAAGTATCTACAGTGATTTTTTTTTTTCACCATGCATCTGGAATGAATATTCCAAATATTCACTTAAATGTGAAATCAACCCAAACGCTATTCCCAATTTTTAAACTTGTCACATGTAGCTGGGTCTGCATGTAAAGTAGAAGCAAAATGCAGTCAAGCATCCTAAGGACTTTCTAACTACCTGGCATGGCCTGAATGATGAAAAGCAGGCTAGAAAAAGAGATACACAGAAGTCTCAAAGGAAAACCAGGTGCTTTCCATAAGATTTACACACACGCCGTGACAAAACCGACAAGTTGCAAAATCATCTGCATAATTATACAAGGTACCTTTCTACATCCCTATATTCTCATCAGGCACGCATGCCATGGTGATGTAATGTCCCCGAGGTCTGGGTACTAACAATGCATTTTGCATTTAGTTTCAAAGATCACGCCATGTTCATCTTCTATTTGATATTAAAACTGCATAAAACCTATTCAGAGTACATCCCTCTATGCAAATTCCAGCTTGCCTTGGGTGCCACTTGCTAAATTAGACATACAAATTTATTTCAAGAGAGCACAAAAAGTAGTTTAAAAAGCACAGAAGCTTTTCCCCCCTCCAGTTATCCTATATTGCGCTACTATGGAACAATTGTTCAGCAGAGATAAATTACGGTGAAATATATCTTTTTGGGTAGCAAAACGCCTTCATGCTTTCAAGCAAGCTCTTCCAGAAGGTATCAGTACAGCACTTTCTGATTTCTAACTTGGGGCGATAACCTCTAATGCAATTCAAATAACAGGCCATAAAAAGAAGTAAGAAAAGGAAGGAAATTGTCTTTAGAAGTAGTCTGAGACTATTGTAATTCCAATTTGCCACTGCTGCTGGATTCTGACATTTAATATCAAGAGCACAATCAAGCAGCAAGGAGAAATCCAGTGTGTTTGCCTTACAAATTAAGATGGGCTTTCTGCTTCTGACAATAATGAAGAGACCAACTTATCTTTTGGAAAAGAAGTAGAAGGGGCATGGCTCTACTATTTATATGATCTGAAATTTATCTTTTTACTTCTCCCAAGAAGATAGAGACAAATGATGCTCATTTATACACTTGAGTAACCTCTTTTAAAACAACACTGGCATTATGTGGGTAACATGAGCAGGGTTTTCTCAGAAGTCTACTTAGTGTTCATCACTATGTAGCAGTCTTGACTAGACTGGCGCACACGAGAACCATATCTGCAGGAGGCTGCAAAAACTGACTATTCTTAAATGGTTGAACACCTTGCAAAAAGCTGCATTCTCCTTAGACGAAGCTGAGAAAAGTCTTGTTCATTCAACTCTGTCTGGGATAATTGTGGAGCCATCATCATGGCTCCTTCACACCACCATGTTTCTAAACCAAAGGCATTCTCAGATAACAACATCCTGTGCCAGCTACTCTGCCACTTGATTTCGTGGGACAATTGGGACAGAAAGAAATGCAGCCCCTCTACTTTACCTTTATCATCAGGGATTTTTCTACTTGCTGATCAAGGAATGATTGTCAAGAAAAATTAAGACCGAAAGGCAGCTTTACATGTTGGCTTGGGCAATGTATAGAACATACAGGAAAGGCTTTTATCTTCTGTTAAGCAGCAGTAGAGCTTAACAAAATCAAAATAAAGAAAGCTAAAACCTCAATTTCTGGTAAGCTTGCTATGAACTTTTTGTAGAGCCTCTATATTTAAAAGAATATGTATTAAATTATATTACATTATATCACATTGCATTACATTATATTAACTATATCCTATTCTAGTCTATTCTGCTGCACTGCATAGAGAAAAGTATTACTGAAACTATGACCTGTATTACTATGTAATTATCACTATGTATGACTGCATAGAGAAACGCATTACTGAAACTATAACCCCGACGCAGGGTTACGATTTGACCACGAGGTGGGAGCATTGCTCATCACACATACCCAGGGCACACAGGCTTTCTCTGTATGTCCCCTCTGTTGAAATCACAAATACCCTGCGTATTTCTGTGCTATAACCTGCAAAAGTGCGTGTTACCACCAGAACAATAAGTTCCCAGGACAAATAGAAAAAAAAGAACCTTTTAACTGGGTGTAATTGCTAGCTGAAAAAGAATATCTGTATAAACCATGTTTTGGTCCCAAAACAAAGAGCTGTACTGAAAACTTTGTATTAACATTGCAGAATCTTTTCCCAGTAGGAAAAAAATGCAAAGATGGTAGAGATAACCTGTGAAAGTGTTAACCATAGTGTCATGGGATGGTTGGAGTTGGAAGGGACCTTTAAAGGACACCTAGTCTAAACCCCCTGCAATGAGCAAGGGACACCTTCCACTAGACTCAGTTGCTCCAAGCCCCTGTGTCCAACCTGGCCTTGAACACTGCCAGGGATGGGGCAGCCACAGCTTCTCTGGGCACCCTGTGTGCCTCAGCACCCTCACAGGGAAGAACTTCTGCCTTAGATCTAGTCTGAAATGGGAAGAAAAAGCTTGCAAAAAAGCAGGTTTGTGAATGCATGTAAAAATTATTTCCATGTGACTGCTTACAATTTTCCATCAAAAGTGTTGAAAAGCAACTATTTCACATGGGAAAATCAAGTTTTCCAAAATGGTTTAATAATGTTCTATCCCACAGGAAACATTTGATGAACTATTTGTGCTGATGATGTCTCTGATAGGGCTGCATCTTTGTGTGGGAAATGGCAGCCACATCTCTGTCTTCTTGGAAGTGAAGAAAAAGGGCAGCAGTCCTGAGTAACAAGCAGTATCTCCCATAGAAACAAACCCCAATAATATGAAGATTAGTTTAACATAAGATTGGGACTAGCCTTTGTTCAAGAGACTTGCACAGGATTTTGAAGGAGTTAAGACTGAAATCTAAGGCATGACTGCAGCTCACATAGCTATCCACGAGCTAGCTTTAAAGTAGTTTAGCTTTGGTATGGAGAGACTCAGTTGTATGAAGTCCAGCTTGATGCACACGTAGTTCCTTGCTCTCTCAGCAAGCCTGATCCCTGTTCCCGACGGCATGCTGTTAAACTGTTCTTGGGTAGACTCAAAGTAACTCAAATACAGAAGCTACATTTCACACCTGTGACTACAGTGTAGAAATGCAGCTTCACTGTCTTCGTCTCCTTGGGGGATAGTTATTCTACATGTCCCTGGCCACTTGGTTCCCCACATAGTAGGACAAATGTATGAGAAATAGTTCGGTGTGTATGTATTCCTATAACAAGATACTAAAATAACTTCCTTTGTATATGCTCAAAAAGCAATTTGGACACATCCTGTGAAGGTTTCTGCAACATACACTCTGCAGCTTTCTTCTCTGGGTGCAGGACACTTGTGCAGTAGGACAGGGGAACAGACTGACCATCAGCTCATGCTGATGGGCAGCAGTGAGAAAGATGAAGCCCTCGTGGTAAATCTACACACATGGGCACCTGTTTAGTACAAATACACCCAGCTACATACTGCACAGACGTTATAAAACCCAAGCACCCTTGACCCTGCAAGAAGTCCGGGCTGAGTTTCACCCACCAGAAAACCACATGTGGTGAGTGCATTATAGCTGTAACCTCAATCTTTCTAATTCCTCTGCTTAATCTTTTTTTTCCAGCATGTGAAAGAGCATGGACTGGCACATGAGAAAGCACATGTTTGGGTAAACACTCCAGTAGTCTGTAAAGAGCTATGTATTATCTGTGGATAATGTTACCTTCTCCACATCCCCCACATGGCTGGTAAGGAGATTTGCTCTAGAGTGAGTAATGGACTGAACAGTTTGTGCAGTGTTTGTCAAAACAGAACTGGCACCCTTGTGCTTTCCTTTCTAAGACTGATCATTCACAATTTTTCTGTTCTATCAATGAGATCATTAGCTTTAATCTGCCTCTACAGAGTCTGAAAGAAAAACAGTCAGCCTACATATTTTCTTTGCACAGTTACAGTTGCTTCTTCGCTGTAATGACTTCAACTGACTTCAACTAGTCCCATGGTAATTCAAGTTCAAGTAAGGGGATGAGCAGAACATTTTCTTACAGGAAAACAAATACACATTAAATAAGTAACACCACGCAAAGACTAACAACTTGCAAAGAATCAAATTCACTCCCTCAAGGATGCTTATATATATATATATAATTCAAGTTCAAGTCTGCATGAAACATTCACTTCTTGGTCCTCCAGTCCAACCAGATAGGTGCCCCTAATCTTTCTGAGACCCTGAGAGTGCAGGCCTTCAAGTGCAACCTGGTCCTTCAAAGTTAGGGACTCCCAGGTCTACTCTCTTGGCTGGGCTGATGCTCCTACATCCTCCTAAAGAAGCCCCAGTGCTCCTGCACCCACTTGGCCTTCTTCACCTGAGGAGTTACATGTTGTTTGAATATTTGTGCTTAATTTCTGCATGACTGCAGAAAGAGTTGTGAGTGGTACCTGTTCAAGACTGTTTTCCTGACAGACACTTAATTCGAGCGTGGAAATAATAGGACCTCTGAAGAAAATAACTGAGTTTTCCTGAACAATTGCTGTTTTAAAAAAAAACATATTTATGTGTCTGAAATTATTACATGCTTCTAGATGAATTTTTCTACGTTTTTAATTGAGGTATCACATTTTCTTCTCATTTATCACTTTGCTAGAGCAATAGGAATGCCTTAAAAGGAAGCAATAAGAGAAAACATGCTATCATTCTAAACTGCAGTACTTACAGTCAGGTTGTCTTTCTTGACCATCAAAACAAAGTACTGTATTATTTACACCTAGGAGTAGTTGTGTTTCGGTGGATTTCACAGAGACATACACAAAGAAAATGCTAGCTCTAACATTTGTCTCTCATTTATTTTGCTACCTAATACTTTAGCAACTGCTTTTGGAACAATGTGGGTTCAGATACTATCTCAGAGCCCTGTGGTACAGATTGAGGAGGTGCAAAAGAGTAAACACGCCACAGACCTAACAGTCGGTTTTCCACTTTGCTGAGACTACTAAAGCATCTGCGGACCTCTACACTAGGCTCAGACTCGTTTGAAATTAATCCCAGATGCCCAAGAAAACATCCTATGGCTTGGGATCACTTCGGTTGAACCATGTTTCATCCCTTTTCTGTAGCATCCTTAATAGGACCTTTATGCTGTGGTTCAACAATGCTTGGCAAATTCCCTCTCGGTCAACTAAATCAACAAAGCTTTGTGTTGCATTAGCATAGTAGAACAGGCAATCATGAAAAACAGGGACACCTTGGGCAGGTTTTTTCCTAGCTCTGTTTGTTGCATCTTCCATGCAAAAAACTCCCATTCCTGTCCTAACAGAAAGCAGAACATGGACAAAAAAACCTCAGGATAGATCTCACACATCCACATTTCCTATTAAGCAACTCTGATAATCCAGAACTTTTCCTTGCAGGTACTGTATAAAAGTTGATGGATAAGGCTCACTAGCAGACCAGCTAAGTGGTGCTACACATGGTGTGAAAGGGATGATTTTCCCCCAGAATGACCCAATGGCTTTTTTTGAGTCTAATGACTGTTTCTGTTAAGTTTGTTTCTTGTTACCACCCAATTTTTTGGTTTTAGAATAAAGTGCAGATGTTTAAGGAAGAATAGGCTGCATTTAAAAATGGGTGACAAAATGGAATAAAATGCTTTCCTTACCATCTGTTTTCTTTGATTCATCCCCCATACTGGACTGATCTTTTTTGTCCAAATTATTGTCTTCCTTTAATTCACCTAGAAAGAAGCAATAAGAAACACTATAAGCATTTTAATGCAGACAGCAGTTTATTAATGCCTGTAACTCAATCAAATTGCAACATCCAAAGGAGATGTTCCTTAGGAGAAAAGGTCTGAATTCACAAGGAACTGGATTAACATATTTTCATAGAATAAAGCACCAGACAAAATGGATCATATAGAAAATGAAACTTTACCATCTACTTTTAAATTCATTCTAATTATTGACACCTTCTTAAGTGTGCATGCAAACTCATCCTCCCTCTGGTTGCATGTAGGCCATTAAAAACCGAAGCATAACCTTCAAAATCAGGACTCTCGAACATCTATGCTTTTAAAGGACTAAGACCCTGCAAGACTTTCTCACAAGTCTCTGCATTAAAGAACCACCTTACATCTCCCAAACAGTCCTATATAATTTTGTCTGACTTTCTCTTACTAGCTTCCTTTATCCACAGAGTCATTTGGGTTGGTCCTTTAATGACGGTACCAGGGAACAAACAAACATCCCAGCACTGATGACTGGCTTTAGAGTCTCTCTAGCAAACCAGGCAAGCAAAGACTTTGGCAAAGCAATGTTTGATGCAGAATGAAAATGGCAACCTGAGCTGGGGTGTATTTTATGAAGCCAGGAAGGTTAACCAGAGTTATTCCAGTTTTCTGTCCTCTGTAAGTCACACAGCAGAGCACAAACCGACCTTCCCAGACCATCCCTTCATCGATGAGAATGCCCAATGCACATCAAATGAAAAATAACCTGAAAGAAGAGCTCCAGCAGAACAGGGTTCTTTCAGCTGCAGTATCCAAGCAGCGGCAAAGAAGGTGTCCCTCCTTCAGATGTCCAGAAAAGCAACAGCAGCCTGCCCACATGGGAGCAGGCAGCTTGTCCTTCCCTCCTCAGAGGACTAGCAGTGAATGTGTGATCCACACCTCAATACAAAATGTCTCACTTCTGAATTTTGTAACTGTGAGGTATGTTACAGGGCTGCATTAAAGTGATGCTTATTCCATTTTCTATTACTAGTTTTGTTATTACAACTAGTTCCCAGCCTTTAGATCCACATTATAGGTATTAGGTGTTAAAGAGGACCTGACCTGCTTTCAAAATAGTCATGGCCAGTGGTTATATATTTTTTTTAACAGCCCAAAAATAAAAGTAATTGTAGAGAAGCAAGGTCACCCTCCTCCTTCTTACATTTCCTCCACCATCATATGGCTGATGGTAATGATGAGCTATTAATGCTTTATTTCACCATTGCATGAAGAAGTTGCTTGACCCTAAATGCATGTAGGAAAAAATGATGAGTATCTACACACACATTATTTCACAGTTTGATCTCTCAGAGAAAGCACACGGGCAGCAAGTGACTGAAAGAGACTTTAAGCTCACCCAACAACACAGTTTCTGAACTTTCATTGAATATAACTTATTATAAATAGGGGGCTTTTGAGTATTGTAATATCCACCCTGCCATAATGCCAGCAGCAGAGCAAAATGATGATCATAACGATCTTTCTGAAAGGGATTACAAAGGCAGAGAAATAACAAGGCAAATACTTTATGATGAGATATTAACATATAGGTGTAAAGGGAGCTGTGGTGAACCCAGAGATATTAATGTGAGGATTTCATCAGTCTCCAAAGTCTCTGCAGTGATTGGACCTCATAAAGGCCTTTTCCCATAAATTAAGGAGCAGAATTTCTTGTCCTGAGGACGATGCTAATTTTCAGAAATCACTGTAATTGCTTTCAAAGCATTTATGACACCAGCAGCACAGAGACATTGCAGAAAAAGGTACTGTCGAAATCACTAGACCAAACTTTAATAACCCCGTATTGTTAAAAGCATGTAAAACAAAAGGTTTCAGAAGTCTGATGCAGTCTAACTGGGATTTCAGATGTCCCCAAACTTTTTGTCTCTTGACCAGCATCCAAGTTTTTGATAATGGCTTCAAGGAGCTGGGGAGGGAAGGACAGTGAAATGGCCAGGAGACAACTAATCTGTTCTAATGGGGGGGCACAGGTTAATGTTTGCTGCAATTTTCAAACATATTTCCACCTCTTCTGGGTGCAAAATAGGATTCTTATTTTAACTCAGTTCTATAGCAAGTTAAAACACTGGAATCAAATTTCTGACCAAACAAATGGCTTGTGACTGCCCTAATAAAAAAATAAGCAAAGGAAGCATAAATAAAACAACTTAAAAACAGAAAGGAGGGAAAATCCTCTGTCCCAAGCCACATTTACATCTGAGGCTTAATTACCTTTAATACCTTTACTCAAATACTTTTAATTTGCCTTAAAAAAAGTTTATAAGCTACCTTTGGCTTCTCCTCTGTCAGTTACCCAGGCACTGAAGCTGTTCAAGAATATTTGTTTCAGCTTTTCAGCCTGCGCACAACAGGCTGCTTCATTTCCACAAGAAAAGTAATGTTTTCCTTTCCTCCAAAACTGCCCAAGCAGGTATGATGTATCCATCTTCAACTGGAAACACACCACTTGGAAGTTAAATTACAGCTCCTGGTCCCCATATGCAGGTGACTATGCCAGTGTCCAGGTTCCCCATCACTGAAGTTAGATACTGGTTTTAGGGCTGGATTTACATTTTAGCTGAAGGAGAAAACTCACCATTATGGACATGCTGTTTCTCTTCTCCCGCTGCATGATGAGAGTCCATTCCCTTATCTGTCCTAGGTGCATTTTTCCCTTGAGAGGCTTCGTGTTTGTTCACCCCAGTTTGCCGAGTCCCATTTACATGATTCTTATTGGAATCTGCGCTTTTGTTTTCCCCTGGATTTGGTTCTTTGCTGTTCTCTGTCTTTGCTGCAGTGGTGTCTTCAGCTGACTTCTTCTCATCCTTTTCATCTGTTTTCTTTTCATCTGTTCCCTGATGAGCATTTTCCTCTGCTTCTTTCTTAGCTTTTTCTTCTGCATCCTCAGCAAAGAGAGAAGCAAACCAAGGAAAGAAACCATGATTATCAGTCAATTTGAGAAGAATGATACAACTCACACATCTAAATCTACTTCAGCTTTTTCCATGCAAACAGCTTTTGCATAGATAAACGTAGGAATTGACTTGACAAGGGAAAAAGAGCACAGAAAAACATTTAAGAAAGTATTGTGAAAAAAACCCAACCCATGTTGGCCTATAACGTGTATTACTTGCATGTCTTTTTACTACCATGGAAGGTTCACCTTTGAAAATGCAGTACCTCAAAATTCTTAGAAGGCAAATTAAAAAGAGATATTAGCTACTGAAGGTTCTAGGGGTGGCAAGGTTTCATTTTTGACACACAGCAATCATTCAAGTTACATCCATTTTATCTTATACCACACCACGTAACCCTATGCACATAGAAAAACTTGGTTCTTTGATACCTGCTTTTTCCCCACCTTGTTCCAGGTTGCTTCCAATGCCAGCTTCCTAATCTCTTCCCTTCTATTTACTGTTATCTTTTCTTTATGGCTCTGTCCTTTCTTGGCAGACTCATATACTGTTGCTAGTACTTGCCCTTCCATCCCAAAAGTCTTACAGTCAACCACAAATACACAAAGGCATAAATTCAAAAGTGAGTCTTGAGCAACAGCAGCACCTCAAAATACTGTCATTCAGAAAAAAATTAAATCACAGAGAAGCCAATTTCCCCCTTTCAAGATACTTGTTGTTACCCAAATCCTAGGTATTGATGCAACACTTATAATAGAGGTTGCAAATTACTGTGGCTCCATGACAGGGAGTTGGAACTGGATGATCTTAAGGTCCTTTCCAACCCAAACCATTCTATGATTCTGTGTATGTGGTTCTGAGCAACCTGATCTACTTGAAGATGTCTCTACTTATTGCAGGGGGGTTGGACTAATGACCTCTGAAGATCCCTTCCAACCCAAAGCATTCTTTCTATCTATGTATCTATCTATCTGTCTGTCTGTCTATCTCCTGTTTTCTGAGAGATTGTGTAAGCTGATGAGCAGAGGAACAGATACTACAAAACACTGAATAAAGTGTTGGTCCTATGGAAGTATTCTTGATATCTACAGAGAAGATGTTTCACTCATTACAAGAGCAGGGGCTTGGCCACAAAATAATTTCTTTCTAAGAAGTGTCTTGTCAAATGGTTCAGAACTACTTCAGAGAAAAATCTAACAATGAGATACAAGAGAGAAAGGGGGAAAGCTGTCTTTGATAAGAAATGCCAATCTGCATTTCCTTGCCAGCAGCTAACTAAAATTAATTAATTTTTAAATTAGTAAATTCTGGCTCACATGAAAATATAATTAAATTAGATATGAGCCTCCCTCACTTTATTAATAATTCCTGAGATCTATGGTAGCTTCCATTGACAGCTCAGCAATGCATGTTGATATTTTTGCTGGAGTCTCACGGTACACAGAAGGATACCTCTCATTTGGGGATCTGAAAAGGAAAAATGCTGCATTTTGCACCTGAACAATAGAGAAATTCAGCTCAGGAGACCTGGGGCTACTACAGCACCACTGGATGAGTGCCTCTTGTCAAAATTAGTGTCACAAAATACTTTATCTAAATGGTACTTTGCACATCAGGGTGTTTGTTTATTCAGATTTTTCATTTGTGGGTATTTAATGATTACCCTTTAAGCAAAAAGAGATCAGTAACAAACCCCACTTACTTTGCCCACAGAGTCCTAGAAGTTTTCTATAAATACCATAATCAGGATAAAAAGAGCTCAGTGATGCTTCCACGGCCAGTAGTAGTAGTAGTAGTAGTATTAGTAGTAATAATAATAATAATAATAATAATAATAATAATGATAGTGGGTTTCCTTCCCTCCTGGTCCCCAGTCACTATCTGTTGCCAATCAACAGTTAAATGCTGTGTCTGTCTTTGCTTAATAATTCTTATTTTTATGGGCAGAGCATCTTGATGCATTGCAAGCCACCGGTTTGACAGGGGTCAGCAATTTTAACTCCTGCTGTGTGGCAGGCCCTGCTGCATATGGCAAAGACAGGCAAGGCAGATGGAGGGGGGTGCAGAGACTTGCTGCAAGTCAGGAGCAAGAGAGCAGCAGAGCCAGGTTTTGATGCAAAGGTTTTGGAGTCCCAGTTCCTTAGTCCTCAGCCACTCTGAGCCAGACGTTTGTATAAACCTTTCAAGATAAGAGAAAACATGCATGGTTGTACTGCTAAATGCACCCAGAAATGCAGACATTATGTGAAAGTCAGTGAATGCAGATGAACAGAAGCTGAGACTGCTTTCTGAATATCTGATCCATAAACTGAGGCCCTGATCCAAGTCGCTGGTGATGAAGTCTGGCAAAAACATAAGGGCTAAAGGTTGTCAGAAAGGTAAAGATAAGGGCTCCCATGTCTAATAATGCAGACTGTTGAGCTCTCTGCTTTCAAGTGACCAGCTAATTCTTACACAGACTACCCTCAGGAGCTGCTAGAAGGATTTTTTATGAGGCAATTAAAAAGAAAACATTTTCCTCTCCAGCTGAAGTATTAATAACCAAACACTTACCGTCAGGATACCCTGTAAAGAATGGATATGAAATACTGCATCCAGACATACTACCAGTGGCAGCATTAGTTAAGCAATGTGGGCACATCCACTTGAGTCATATCTTGACATTTACATGTGCACATTTAGGAAAAAGCCTTTATGCAAAGTAGTCACTGCAAGTGGGTACAAAGCACATTTAAAACTTAAACACCCAGAATCTATTATGAGCTAATCTATATATTTGTTTTAGTTGAAATGTAAGATAGATTTTATTTATTTCCCCATAGGTGTCTCTCACATGTAAGATTTTTATCTAGTAGATCCTTAGACAGGCAGTTATGCATGGTACATGCTGAAATTAAATCCTTAAACCTAGTCAACTGGATTGGCTTCATTTGCTCAACACTCCTATTCTGTGAGACACTATCCATGTTAAATGCTTTGCTTGTTTGGTTAGCTTTAATTTGGTTGCTCCACAAAGAACTGGGAAATAGTAAATGCCAATTGAGAAAAAAAAAACCAACACAAAAAGCTACAAAAAAGCCCCTGGCAAATAAGCAGATTTTGAATTATGTTTTTGTTTTCATTTTCATGGAATGCCCAGAAAGGCTTTTCCTGAATGGCAAGTTTAAATCACAAAGGAGAATTTAATTTGAATAATAATGCGTGCTTTCCTGCACCTTTAGACAGGCCTTTCAGCTGGGGAGGAACAATCTGCTCTGGCAAATAGGAGAATGATGGCAGATTTTCCAACAGCCCTGAAGCCAAGGCCACAGAATACATTAAAATCGAGCTCCGTCCCTTTACATGAAATAAAACAACTCCATTAAATAAGGGTTTGAGTAACAAACATTCAGCTTAGAGAAGAAATTACATCACCAACAATTACATGAAGAAAAAGAACCAAAACGACACATTTCTCCTTTTTTTGTTCCAAAGCTGGTCTAAATCACCTGAAGGCTCAAGGAGACCTTGGGCAACCATCCAGCCCCCGGAGGCAAGTGGCAGTTGTACATAAGTTCTCAGCAGATGGCTCTCATTGATTCCAAAAGATCTCCAACAATAGAGATTTGCCAGTGTCTAAGTTATTATCAGTTTGTGATCACCTGCCAATTTTTTCTCCTCTTAACAGCCACGGGTGTTTGAATAAAAACAAACCATAGCTCCTTTACTCTGCAGCTGCAGCAGTCTTCAAAGAACTGCTTTGAGCTACCAGCAACAGTTATCATCATTTGCATTGCTGTGCTCTGCACTGGTCTGCAACTGGTCCATGTGTTTGCTGAACTGCAGTGGCCAAAACTGGACACAGTGGGGACGTTGTTACTGCTGGTAAGACAGGAAGAATGCCGAGGGATC